TGGGCCGTGTCCTGGCGGCTCCCCACTTGTGCCAACTGCCTACCCTCCCCCAACTTCCTGTCCTAAAATGTAGTTGAAAGGCGGAGAAAGAGCCATTCGTGTTCGCGGGTTTGGTTCCCCAGCGGCTGCCATGGCTGAGGCTGGGCCAGGCTGTCACCAGGAGCCCACGTCCGTGGTCGTCGTCTGCCGTCTCCTAGGCTGCAGAAGCAGAGCAGCCGGCATCCGGACCGGCACTGTTGCCAGGATTCCATCATCGCCGGGGGCCCTCGGCAGCGGCCCCCTCCAGCACGGTGGCGGCCCTGGCGGGCTGGCCTCTCCTCCTCCACGACCGAGCCCTGCTGGGCTGTGGACAGAGGGCAGCGCTGCCCGGGGCCCTTCGCAGTGGTGTCCTGGGGCGGCCGTAATGAACGACCCCGACTGTGCCTTCCAGCGGAAGCCGATTCCCCTGCAGTTGTGCTGTGGTGGGGGCTACACCTCCCCCCCCCCCGCCCCGAGGGCTCCAGGGAGGACGTCTCCCTGCCCCCGCCGGCTCCTGGCGCTGCCGCAGTCCTCGGTGTTGGCTGGGAGATGCATTGCTCCGGGCCCTGCCTCTTTCTTCACCTCCCCTCCCCTCCTTGTCTTTGATGGACACCCGCCATGGCATTCAGGGCACATCCCGAGCCACCGTGATCTCATGCTGATCACAGATAACATCCGCAAAGACCCCACTGCCAAATACGCTCCCATCCCGGGTTCTGGGTGGGCACGAACTCTGGAGCGCCTCTCTCCCTGCCTGCTGCCGCCGCCTCGCCGGCCCCTCCCTCCCCACTTCCTCCGGCTTTGCAGGAGGCCCGTGTTGGCCTCTCCTCACTGTCCAGCTTTGCCGGCGCCATCTGCTCACTGCCCGCATTTGGAAAGCTGCAGCCTGGCTGAATGGGCTCATTTGGGATGGACCGGGCCGGCAGGGGCCAGAGCGGCTTCGGGAACAGCATCCGGAGCCCTCGGCCCCGTGCCCTGGCCCCTGTCAGAGCTGCTGGCTGGCGGCCTCTCTCAGCGCCTTCCTTCCCCTGCCCACCTGCTCACAGGAACCACAGCAACCCAAGAGCCACATGGCAGGAAGGCGAGCTCCGGCCAAAGCCATAATCCGGGACGTGGCCTGTTAGAAAAGCAGGCTGCGGTCAGACCCGGGGCTGACTGCCTCAAGCTGCCCTGGTCCCACCTGGGACCCCCTGAAACCTCAGCCCGCTTCCGCCTGCTCACCTACAAAGTGGGAGCTGAGTTGTCGGCCACAGCTCCTGCAGGGACGGAGCCGGAAACGGTGGGAGAGCGCACTGGGCACGCGGGGCAGCAGTGTCACACAGGGGCGCTCGACACGAACAGAGCAGGTACAAGTTCCGTGCACCAGAACTGCAGGTTTCAGGTACAACCCTTGACCCCTCAGTGGCCAAAATGTGTGTGTGTGTATATCTGTGTTTGTTTTTCTTTGTGCTCTTTCTCACCCCTTTCGTGAGGCGACGGCCGCTGGAGTGTGGGCGGGAGAGGGAATGGGAGTCGCTGGCAACGCGAGGCCACACAGCTCACAGGGTCAGCGACGGTGATGCAGGGGCAGAAGTCCCTGGGGTTGTGGGAGCACCGGCTCCCAGCCCAGGGCCCTGGAGAGAGGGCTCGGGACTGTGTGTGAGTGGGGAGAGCAGAGAGGAAGGCACGACAGGCCCCGTGCCCGGCAGCCCGGGGCAGGGGCGTCGGCGTGGCCCCCTCCGGAGCACGGCTCACACACCTCTGCCAGGAGTTTGCTGAACATGTGAAGTTCAAGGTGCTGCTTGGAGCTCCAAGTGGAGATGCTGAATAAGCAGTCGGGTGTCTGGAGACAGGCCCTGGGGTGCGGTGAGCACGGTGCTGTTTAGCGCATCAGAGCCACATGATTGCGGCAATGAGGGGGCGTGCCGGACGCCGCGGTGACAAGGAGGAGCGGCTGACGCGTGTCGAGGACTGGCTTTCAGAGTGGTCCCCAGACCAGCGGCCTCAGCTTCATGGGAGGGCCAGTCAGAAATGCACCCGAGGGTAGAGTGGGCCCAGCAGGTGAGCTGCCCTCCCTGATGCCGGCTAGGGCTCGAGTGTCCACTGGGCGCGAGGAGGGCCCAGCGAGGTCCCGTTGGGCATCAGTGGTTGGCCAGCACACGCCTGGCTGCTCCCTTGGAAAGCGGCCCAGGACTGCCTCTCCCGGACACAGCGCCACCCCGGGAATGCCCAGGCCTGAGAGGTCAGGGTACAGCCACTGACTGCACTGCCCAGCCCTCTCCTCTCTGTCCTCGTGGGAAGACACCAGCGGCTGGTTCCACGCCCACCCTGTGTTGAGCCCACACAGTGCCAGCGTCAGTGAGCCAAGTCCAGCGGGCCGTCTTTTCCACGGGGACTCTGGCACAGTGAAAGCTGACGAGACTGCAAGAAAGACGCTGGGAGCTCCTTGCTGGCGGTCCACGAGCTGGCACATTTGGGTACCCTGGTCCCACCGCCAGCCACTCAGGAGATGATTAATGCGTCCTGAGACTTCCCAGGCGCTTACGACACCTTCAGGAGTAGCCCCGACAATGGCTCTGTGGTGCACGGTGTTCTTAATTATTTATGTATTCTGGGGCAGCCGGGTTCCCTCCCACCCGAGCTCAGCGAGGTAATGAATGAGAAAGGCCAGCGGTCTGTAATGACAGCGTTGATTAAAGAAGGGATTGCGGCTGGAGCTCCTGCCCAGCTGTTATGCTGATGCCCGCCCGGATCCAGGACAGTGTTTCCATGCTAATGACAGGGCTGGGGCAGCGGCTGACACTGGTCTCCATCCGTGAGCAGTACGGACGTGTTCCTAACGTGCTCTTGGCCATGAGTGGGAAGACCCGTCCGCGAGCCCACTCCCACGTGCTGCTGGCTACTGTCCCCAGCAGATGGAAGGAATCCTCTGAGCCCATCCCTCACAGCTGCCCCTCAAAGCAGACGTGTGAGTGGACAACGAACATCGCCCAGAGCTCCACCCCTGTTCTCGGGGGCTGGGGGAGAAGGGAGATTGGGCACAAGAGGTCACCGCTCAGCACTGCAGGTTCTTGCGGATGCACGGCCCCAGCGGAAGCCTGCTGTGTCCACCACGGTCAGCGAAGGTGTGGTGATCGCGCCGTAGGGAAGTGGGCGGGGTGCGGGAGTGACTTCATTATCTCCGAGCCCTTCCTCCAAACCGTGCGTGTGCACTGCTTAAGCAAAGTTAGCTCTGTGTGCATTCTCGAAGGGTCAGTAACCCGCGAAGGTTGGAAAACACTGCCTGCGAGCTGTCCAAGGCTTTCACATCCACTTCTTGGATTTCTGTAGTGTTGGGCTCCATCTTGTCTCACTCTCTCCACGTGTCCTTCAGACACCTTGACGGGTGTCTGGAAACACGCATCCCCGGGAAGGGAGCTCCTGTTCATCCACCTCTGTGTCCAGCTCTCCATTCATCCAACGATCAGGCCATCCACCATCCGGCCATCCATTCACATGTCTGTCCATCCGTCCATTCGTCCTTCATCCATCATGCACCCACCTGTCTATCCATCCATCCATCATGCACCCACCTGTCCATCCGTCCATCCATCATGCACCCACCTGTCCATCCATCCATCCATCATGCACCCACCTGTCCATCCATCCATCATGCACCCACCTGTCCATCCGTCCGTCTATCATGCACCCACCTGTCCATCCGTCCGTCCATCTCTGCGTGTATCCGTCATCCGCCTGTCTGTCCATTCATCCATCCATCCATCCATCCTTCCTTCTGTCCGTCCATCTGCCCATACATACATACTACATGAGCAGGAACCAACCAAGCGATCAAATATGGGTAAGACTTTTTTTTGCCTTCAAGGATTTCACAGTGTAGGAGGTGATGTGGACACGTGGGGCAGACAGACCCCAGCCCCTAACCTTGGCTGTGCGAGACAGGTCCTTTCATTTCCCTGTGACCCAGCTTGATTTCCGTCACGGGCCTTCAGCTCCCTGGGATCCCAGCCCAAGTGCTGAGGCGTGGGGAGAGAGGCCTTAGGCCGGCTGTCACAGTTCCCAGGGGCTCGTGCCATCAGCACAGCCCGCGTGGGCGACCTTGGCCATGGCTGTCGTTGCTGTCCAGGCCGCCCCTTCCTGCCTGCCAGGAGAACCCGGCCTCTTCTGTTTCTTCCCCTCAGTGGGAGCGTCCGTGGGGCCTGCTGTGCACTTGTTGAGTGAGTGGCTTTGGAACACAAGAGCCGGGAGGCTGTGTGCGCCTCTTTTCTCGTCTGTGTTTGTTTTTCTTTGTGCTCTTTCTCACCCCTTTCGTGAGGCGACGACCGCTGGAGTGTGGGCGGGAGAGGGAACGGGAGTCGCTGGCATTGCAATGGCACACAGCTCACAGGGTCAGCGACGGTGATGCAGGGGCAGAAGTCCCCGGGGTCGTGGGAGCACCGGCTCCCAGCCCAGGGCCCCGGAGGGAAGGCTCGGGACTGTGCGGGAGCAGAGAGGAAGGCACGGCAGGCCCTGTGCCCCGCAGCCGGGGGCATGGGCGGCGGCGTGGCCCCCTCCGGAGCGCGGCTCACAGCCCTCAGCCGCAGCCGCAGCTCTGTGCAAGGTGCACCCAGCTGTTTCACTGCAGGTGCAGGGCCTCACCTCCAGCTGCTGTTTTCTGTCCTGGGTAGGGGAAGCCCCGGAGCAGTGGGAGACGGGGTGGCGGCCAGCACCCCCACTTTGAATCCCTGAGGATCCCTCGAATCCCGGACACTATTCATGAGGCCTCTGATAACAGCCTCCCGGCCACGGTGGCAGCCACGGAAACGCAGCGCCTGCTGGCTGTCGCTCCGTCTCCACCTGCCTCCTCCCTGTGGTCACGTCCCAGTCAGAGTGGCCTCGGGCTCTGCACTGCAGGAACCCCAGCCAAGCGTTTGGTTTGTTTTTCTGCAAGAAAACAGGCTTGTCTGAAGCCAGGCGGCCTCCCGTCTCCAGAGCTTCTCCACCGTCTCCCTCTGCCTCCGCAGGTGTCTGACCGCTGTGACTACGTCTTCGTCAACGGCAGAGAGATCAGAGGGCAGGTGGACGCGGCGGTGAACTTCACCTACCAGCACCTGAGTGCACCTCTGCTCGTGACCGTGTGGGTGCCCCGGCTGCCCCTGCAGATCCAGGTCTCCGACACGGAGCTCAGCCAGATCAAGGGCTGGAGGGTCCCCATCGTGGCCAGCAAGAGGTGAGCCTGGGAGGGGGCGGCGCCCTGGAGCTCACCGCAGCAGCCGTGTTCACTGACCTTGGCACTGAAGGAAGCTGCACGGGCCCGGCACACAGCAGGTGCCGACGTCGCCAGGGCTGCATTCCCCTGAGCCCAGCAGCCGAGAGCGGCTCAGCAGAGGGCCCGGGCGACCCCAGGCTCTGCCCTCGACGCTGGCCTTGGATGGAGCGGCCCTCCCCAAACGGCAAGACGGAAGTCACGTTTCTCCCGGCCCCATGGCCCCAGAGAACTTGAGGCTGGGTTTATTTTCTCCAGAGCTCCAGGGTCGTCCTCTGTGCTGGATAGGAGCTCGGGAACGCTCTGTGCAGATCCAGGTGTGGGACCCAGGCTTGCTGTTGGCCAAGAGCCTCCGGTTTGTTCTGCGGGGCTCAGCACTCACACTGGGAGGAGCGTGGGGTCCGGTTGTCTCTGCTCGGTGGTCCCCAGTTGGCACAGTTGGCTGAGTGAGGGTCGTTGCTCGGTTCCCGGCTTCCTGCCTGGAGTCACTCATCCCAACCAGCGACAGTCCCCGGCCCTTCGTTGTAAGAAGCACAGAGTAGGCGGCAGAGCCAGGACGCCAAGCCAGGGGGCAGCCAGGCCACACCCTGGGGTTAGCAGCTGCAAGACCAGGCTTGTCGGGGGCCCTGGGGGGTGAGACCAACGCCCCACCTCGCTCTGTGGGCTTGGGCCAGCCGTCCAACCATCCAACCTCCCTGCACCCAGAGCCTTCTGTGAACGTGGGAATAACTAAGGTTTGCCTCTGGTCTCCCGGGAGGTAAGGGGGTCCCGTCGTGTCTCAGGGGCTCTGTCCCATTGGACCGTCTGTGTGGCAGAATGCTGTAGAACCACACGGTCCAATATGGTGGCCACAGCACTAGAAGCTGTCAGCACGTGGCCCTCAGCCAGTGTGACAAGAAGGCTGAACTTTAAACCTGTGTTCCGTTTTTATTCATTAAATTCAGATAGCCACATGTGGCCCATGGCGACTTACTGGACATTTTGGGTGGAGCAGATATCAGCTCTTTTTTTTTTTTTTTAAGAATTGTTTTATGTATTTGAAAGTCAGGGTTACACAGAGAGAGAAGGAGAGGCACAGAGAAAGAGAGAGAGGTCTTCCATCCACTGGTTCACTCCCCAAATGACCACAATGGCCAGAGCTGCGCCAATCCGAAGCCAGGAGCCAGGAGCTTCTTCCAGGTCTCCCACAGGGTGCAGGGGCCCAAGGACTTGGACCATCTTCTACTGCTTTCCCAGGCCATAACAGAGCTGGATCAGAAGTGGAGCAGCTGGGACTCGAACTGACACCCATATGGGATGCCGGCGCTGCAGGCTGGGGGCTTTAACCTGCTGCACCACAGCGCTGGCCCCAGATATTAGCTCTTAAGTCTTAGCTGTCTGTCTATCTATCTACTTATCTATTTATTTTGCCATAAATGTAGTCCAGAGAGCGGTGCCCAGCCCTTGGCACTGGCCAGAGGTAGATGGGGCAGCCTGCTGTGGTCCCGGGGCCCCCGACCTGGGTGGTGGCTCTGTGAGGTGCGGGTGAGCCTGGCCCTGAGAGCCTCCTTCCCCACAGGCCCACGCAGGACAGCGAGGAAGAGGAGGAGGAGGAGGAGCGGCGGGGCCGGGGCTGCGCCCTGCAGTTCCAGCGCGCCACCGTGCGCGTCCTCACAGAGTTCGTGTCCCAGGGGGCCGGGCCCTGGGGCCAGCCGAGCCACCTGCTGGGTCCCGACTGGCAGTTTGACATCACCCACCTGGTGGCGGACTTCATGAAGCTGGAGGAGCCGCACGTGGCCACGCTGCAGGCCGGCAGGGTCCTGGTCGGGCGGGAGGTGGGGATGACGACCATCCAGGTAGGGAGCGCGGCTGTGCCTGGCCCCCGGGCGGGGAGACTCGGGGGCGGTGGGGCACTGTGGCCGGTCCCTTGTCTCCATGCCACCTCCGGGTGGCAGCGTGGGAACACAGACCAGCGGGCCTGGGCCAGCTCACGCCGGGACCCTCTCTGAGCTACTGCAAGTTCATAGCCTCCAACTCCCAGCAGCCCCTCCCCACCCCTGCTGCCCACCGAGCGTCCACTCCCCTCGTAGGAAAAGCCCTCAAGGGCTCTCTGCACAGCCTCTGCGAGAGGCCAGGGGGAGGAGCGAGGCCGTGGCCGCGCCCTGCCAGTCACCCTGCCGCTGAGTCGTTCAGCAGACTCAAATCCTGCCCCCGGGCTTGGCACAAGAACACGGGTGGAACTGGGGGTGCTTCAGGCGGGGGGTGGGGTGCGGGTGGCCTTTCCCTCAGCCCCCAGTCCCACCCTGGTCACTCGTCCTTTCTGGAAGGTCCTTGCACCGTAGATGGGAGTGCAAGGACAGAACGCGTCTGTCGTGGCCCCTGGACGTGCGCAGTGCCCGGCAGCGGCTCGTGGTGGCGCCGGGGCGCATGCGCTGTTCGTGGCTCGGTTCTCCCCCGCTCATTCCACGGCTCACCTGCTCTGTGATGCAGGCTGTGCACAGTCGGCTGTGTGCAGCCCTTCGTCCCCAGGAGCAGTGAGCCAGGCTGTGCCTCGTGCGAGGGGACCTTGTTGAAACGAGAGGGTTCGTGGGCACTGTGAGACAGGATGGAGTTCTTCTCAGTTCGTGGGCAGATAGAACCAGCCTGTCCTGGGGAAGGAGCCTCCTTCTCTGACGCCCCAGGGCGCGGTCCCGGCACGCGTGAGTGTGCCTGCGTGGTTCCTTCCCCCTGGGCCCGTCCGGCAGGGGAGAGCTTAGGTGGGGAATACCAGCTTCTGGAAACAGGTGTGATGGCTTTTCCTCATGTCTTGCTGCGCCCGCAGGTGTTATCCCCGCTGTCTGACTCCATCCTGGCCGAGAAGACCGTGACCGTGTTGGATGACAAAGTGTCGGTGACAGACTTGGCCATCCAGCTCGTGGCTGGGCTGTCAGCCACCCTGCACCCCGACGCGGAGGATGGCCAGGCCATCACAGCTGTGGCCACAGCCGAGGAGCTGCTGCGGACCCCCAAACAGGTAGAGGGCCAGCTGCTGTTCCCGACCGAGCGCAGCGGGGCTGGGGGCCAGTCGGCGCCGTGACCCTCAGCACGGGGGACAGGCGGCTGCAGACAGAGGCTCCTCACCTGGTCTCCCGCCCGCCTGCTTTCCCCGGCACCTGCACCCTGACCCCCGATCCCCCTACTCCGCGCTCTGACCAGCAGCAGAAAGCGCTTGTACAGCCACGCCTCCCAGCGTGTCTTTCCCCACACCTGCAGACACTGGAGTCCTCCACGCCCCCGGCGCCTGCCTCGCTCCCTGGGCGTGTCCCCGCACCCCTCAGTCTCAGCAAACCTCAGGCACCCCCTACCCTTGAGTGTCTTCAGGGCTCAGAGCAGGCGGCCCTGGCCGTGCCCCTGAGCAGGGCGCCTTCTCCTACCCAGCTGTGCCGTCACGTGGTCTAGGGAGCCTCGTCCGCACCGGCTCCCGTCTGCACAGCTGTTTTATTCCCTTCGGAGTGTTCTGTCACCTAAAAGCGCTGTTTATCTGTCTGCTCACTCGTTCTGCTCCCTGAAACGTCGGCGCGTGCTTCCTCCTCTCTCACCCGTGGCCCCCACGGCGCCGCAGGCAGCAGGTGCTCCGTCAACATCAGTGGAGCGAGCACGTGGCTCTCAGAGCTGGGCTGGGAGACGGGACAGTGAAAGGGAGGGGGAAAGGACCCCGTGGCCCGGTAGCCTCGGTAGCTGGAGCAGGTGCCCGGCAGGTCTGCTGGACTTTGCACCTCCGTGTTGTCATCGGGAAAATGCCAGGGAGAGTTCAGAATGCCCTGTGTGACCCGGCCGTCCTTGTCTCATCCCTCAGAACGTGTCCTTGTGAGACCTGCGTTGAGTCTGGGAACAGTGGCTGGGGTGGAGTGGTGCTGTGGGGTGAGCAGCACCCCGTGGGGTGTGTGGGAGCAGACACGGACCTGGTTCTCAACTCCGGGCTGCTAACCTCAGCGGCTTGGGTGACTCGTGTCCAGGAGATGCAGGAGACGGGAGAGGGGGCTGCCTGCGTCCTCGCTGTGGGCTGGGAGAGGCTGCAGGAGCAGCCCCCCTGTGGCTGTGGTGGGCAGCAGAGCACAGGGCAATTCGGGGCTGCAGTCTCCAGGGTTCAAGGGTGGGATGTGACAGTGGGAGGGGTGGCAGGGGGAGGGGGTGACGGGGGTGACAATGGGAGGGGCGACAGTGGGAGGGGGTGACAGTGGGAGGGGTGACCATGGGAGAGGGTGGCAATGGGGGGGTGACAATAGGAGGGGATGATCATGGGAGGGGTGGTAGTGGGAGGGGGGCAACGGGAGGGGGTGACAGTGAGAGGGGGTAGCAGTGAGAGGGGGTGACAGTGGGAGGGGTGACAGTGGGAGGAGTGACAGTGGGAGGGGGTGACAGTGGGAGGGGTGGCAGTGGGAGGAGGACAGGGACCTGATAGCATTTGGGGGTGGTGGTAGGCATGGCAGTGAGAACAGGACAGTGACCATCAAGGGTAGGGGCAGCTTCCATGCTTCCGGAGGAGACCGGAAAGTTCTGTCCACAGAGCAGGGTTTGTGTCCATCTAAGAACTGTGGACCCAAATGCCCCAGGCCAGTGGCAGAGCCGAGCCCTGCAGCTGCGTCTGCGAGTGGGGTCCTCGGGGTCTGCATGGACACTGCTTAGCGGCTGCCACTGGGGGCCTTGCGACAACGCCCACGTCCTTTTATCTCAGGTTTGTTTTTTTTTAATTTGAGAGAAACGGCCTGAACTGGAGCTGGAGCCAGAGCCGGCAGCTGGGAACGCGGCCCAGGTCTCCCACGTGGGCGGCAGAGCCCAGCGCTGCCTCCCGTGGTCCTGCTGAGCAGGGAGTTGGGGTCGGAGCCGGAGCCGGGACTTACCCGGTCTGACCCCAAAGCCAGATGCCTGCCCCCAGTGCCCACTTCCCAGCTCCGTGGTGGGTGCACGGGAGTCTCCGCCCAGAGCCCCAGGGCCGGCGTCCCCCCAGGGTGCCACACTCACCTGTGTTGCTGGCAGAACGCAGACCCTGCATTGTGTGGATGAGGCTCTTCCTTTGTTGGGTGTTGGCCAGGGGCTTCTCTGAGGTCCCGTAGGACACCCTCGTCCTTTGTCACCGCTCAGTGCACCCCTGTGGTCTCTGTGCGTGGAGTCCTTCCCTGCTCCACTCCCCCCGGCTTCCCCCCAGCCGCCAGCCAGAGACATCCCAAGCTCTGCTGGGCCCTGAGAAGCCGCTGGCCCCTCCCAGGTCGTCTAGGAAAATCTCCTGACATGAGGCCAACTGTGCTGAAAACAGGAGCAGTGCCCAGGTCCTGCAGACGGGGGTGGGACGAGTCTGCAGGGCCAGCGCCACTGCACAGAGACCGCTGCCGGCTGGCTTTGTTCCCGAGCGTGGGCAGGAGGCACTGGGCTGCAGACAGACCTCCCCTGGAGGTGGACAGGTCCCCTGGAGGTGGACAGGTCCCCTGGAGGCGCTGGGCGTGGACAGGTACCCTGGAGGTGGACAGGGCCCCTGGAGGTGGACAGGTCCCCTGGCGGCGCTGGGCGTGGACAGGTCCCCTGGAGGTGGACAGGTCCCCTGGAGGCGCTGGGCCGTGGACAGGTCCCCTGGAGGTGGACAGGTCCCCTGGAGGCGCTGGGCGTGGACAGGTCCCCTGGAGGTGGACAGGTCCCCTGGAAGCGCTGGGCCATGGACAGGTCCCCTGGAGGTGGACAGGTCCTCTGGAGGTGGACAGGTCCCCTGGAGGTGGACAGGTCCCCTGGAGGCGCTGGGCGTGGACAGGTCCCCTGGAGGTGGACAGGTCCCCTGGAGGCACTGGCGTGGACAGGTCCTCTGGAGGCGCTGGGCATGGACAGGTCCCCTGGAGGTGGACAGGTCCCCTGGAGGCGCTGGCGTGGACAGGTCCCCTGGAGGTGGACAGGTCCCCTGGAGGTGAACAGGTCCCCTGGAGGCGCTGGGCCGTGGACAGGTCCCCTGGAGGTGGACAGGTCCCCTGGAGGTGAACAGGTCCCCTGGAGGCGCTGGGCCGTGGACAGGTCCCCTGGAGGTGGATAGGTCCCCTGGAGGCGCTGGGCCGTGGACAGGTCCCCTGGAGGCACTGGCGTGGACAGGTCCCCTGGAGGTGGACAGGTGCCCTGGAGGTGCTGGGCCATGGACAGGTCCCCTGGAGGCGCTGGCGTGGACAGGTCCCTGTGGCCATGCCGCCAGCCCACTGCTCTCCTCCGCTGGCCTGCTGTTTCCCAAGAGGAGCAGAGCCAGGTGGGAGGGAGGAAGCAGACGCACAAAGCTGTCTGCTGAGAATGGGTAATTAATTAGGGCGACGATGGCGTGGCGGCCTCCCTGGCGGGGGCAGAGCCACCCACGCCCCAAGACGTGGCCCATCCGTCTCCATCAGCCGACGGTCATTGGAGCCCCCCAGCGCCGCCTCGGGGGGATTTATGGATGTAGTCCTTCCATTTGCAGGCTCGATTCTTGAAAGGACGGCGCCCTCCGTCAGTCCCGGGCACGTGTTATTTCAAGTCATTCCGGATTCCTTCTCTCGGGGGGAGTGTGTCGTGTCTCTGATCAAAGGTTCCGTTCCACCCTGACCGTAACGAGCAAGGGGAGGACCTGGTGTCCGTCACAGCGGGGGCCGCTGGGCAGGGGTCTCGGCACGCGAGCGAGTTCTGAGGGTTCAGTTCCGCTTGTCGGCCGGACGAGGGGCTTGATGTGTGTTAACTTCCTCCTCCACCTGGAGCTGGTGGAGCAAAATTAATTCGAGATGAGAAGTCAGCCGCAGAGAGCTCGCTCCCTGCCCACAGCGTTTCGTCTCCCTCTCCGCCCTGGGGGCGTCAGAAGCTGGCACTCGGCGCTCGATGTTTTCAGCTTTGAAATAGAAAATCTGAGATTTGATGCCGTCGGTGTGAGGGCAGCAGCACCTGTGCGCCCAGGGCCTCGTTTGTCTTCATGGAAGCCGGGATGGAAAATGAGATGAGGCGTGAGGGGCCCGGGGGGGCTGTGGGCGGCGGACAGGGGCCAGTGGGGTGAGAGTGCCCCTCCACGGTGTGGACAGAGGGGTGTGGGTGCGACCCACGTGCCTGGGCCATGTCATCCGTCAGGTCTGGTCCTCGTGGAGGCAGAGCCTCCCACGAGAACTCAAGGGCAAGTTCTTTATTTAGCAGCCATGAGAGAGAGGGAAGCTTGCCAGCAGCCTGTTTCCAAGTCACTGCCCCGAGACGAGGGGACACGGAGCCAGTCCAGACCGGGGCAACGGGTGGGAACGAGCAGGCTGCTCCTGCCCGCCGCTCCTGGAGGCCTGGCCGTGAGCGGTGACGCCCTGGCGCCCCCAGCGGCGGACTTGACCATGCGGGTTCCAGAGCCCAGGGAGGGCCCTGGGGGTGGTGGGGAGAGCAGGACCAGGCGGGCAGGTGCCGAGCAGAGGGGCCACCCCTCCAGAGTCACCTCCCACCTCAGACCTGCCGGGGGGAGCAGGAGCGCTCAGGTCCTGGGCAGGCGTCTGCACGTCCAGGTGCGGCTCAGCCCCACACTCGGTGTCATCAGGACCTCCCTGCTTGTCCTGGAGCACGGGCGCCATCGCCGTGTTACACACAGCTCCCCCACTGCTCATTCTCCTGGAAGTCGCGGGCGGCACCCACGGGCCACGCCCACTCCCCTCCGCCGCGCTCTCACCTGCCGTCTGTGTCTTCCATGCATCAGTATCCCTGTGGCTGTCTCGGGGTGGAGTCCGAGGCTCTGTCTCCTAGGGCACTGGTTCTCTCCCAGCCCATCCTCTGAGTGGCTGATTCCAGTGGCTTTGTTCGTTTATTTCCAGAAATTCCATTTGGTTCACCCATCAGCCCAGCCCTTCTGCATTCCCCTCAGTGTGGTCTGTACTATTTCAGTTGATTCCCCAGGCCGTGGTGCTTGTTCGTTTATTTTATCTATTTTACAGTATGTTTTATTCGAAAGGCAGAGAGGGAGGGAGAGAGTGAGCAGGGTGGAGGGAGAGCTCCCGTCTGCTGCTCCACTCCTCAAATGCCTGCGACAGCTGGGGCTGAGCCCAAAGCCCGGAGCCCGGGGCTCCACCCAGCGCTCGCACGGGGAGGCAGGGCTACAGCTGGGGCTGAGCCCAAAGCCCGAGTCCGGGGCTCCACCCAGCGCTCGCACCGGGGAGGCAGGGCTACAGCTGGGGCTGAGCCCAAAGCCCGGAGCCCTCCACCCAGCGCTCGCACGGCGGAGGCAGGGACCCCAGCGCTGGAGCCATCCTGCTGCCTCCCAGGATGCTCGTGGGGAGGAAGCCGGCTTGGAAGTGGAGCCGGGACTCAGACTCCGGGATGGGCTGCGGGGGGTCCAAGCAGCGCCTGCTCTCACTTGACAGCCCTTGCAGTCCTCTGGTAACGTAGTTACTTGCCCGCTCAGCTCCCCGGTGAACGTTCCGTGCGTCTTCCCCGCTGTGGCTGTCACCCCTCAGCCAGGAGCACCCCTCAAGCTGCGCCTGCTTCGCTTGCTTTGCTCCCGCGTTCCCCACCTGCCTTGCTCGTGACCCCTACCCCCCAGAAGTGGGGAACCTTAGCCCCACGCTCGGGGCGGGGTCTGACTCCTCGTGAAGGCACCGTCCACCCGGAGCTCGCTGCCTGGGACTCTCCCGTCCCCTGTCCGTGCAGGGAGCCGGGGGGTGTCTTTATACCGAAAAGGCAAGGCCTGAGACGGGTGTGGCCGAGTGTGCGGGCGGGGTCGGGGGGCAGCTGCTGCCAGCCTGGTCGGTGTGAGAAAGGGGAGCAACAGTCGGGGCTGGTGCTCTGGTGCAGCTGGGGCCACCGCCTGCGACGCCAGCATCCCACACGGGTGCTCCACTCCCAGTGGGTGCTCCACTCCCACATGGGTGCTCCACTCCCAGTGGGTGCTCCACTCCCACATGGGTGCTCCACTCCCAGTGGGTGCTCCACTCCCAGTGGGCGCTCCACATCCCACACGGGTGCTCCACTCCCAGTGGGTGCTCCACTCCCAGTGGGTGCTCCACTCCCACATGGGTGCTCCACTCCCAGTGGGTGCTCCACTCCCAGTGGGTCCCCCTGCCAGTGCACTGGGAAAGCAGCAGAAGGTGGCCCAGGGGCTCGGGCCCCGCACCCAGCTGGGAGACCCAGATTAGCTCCTGCTCCTGGTTTGGCCTGGCCCAGCTGGGCCATTACAGCCATCTGGGGAGGGAACCAGCAGGTGGAGGAGCGCTCGCTCGCTCGCTCTCTCTCTCTCTTCCTCTAACTCTGCCTTTCAAATAAATAAAAGCATATATATTGAGTGAGAGAGAGAGAGAGAGAGAGAGAGAAGGCAGCTGTCTGGCTTTTTCAGCAACAGCTAATCCCAGTGGCCCTTTGTGCGGCTGATCACTGGGCTCTGGCAATGGCCGTGCCTGCCGGTTTCTAGCAAAATGGTTGAGAGTGGGGCCCTGGAGCCACGGTGCTGGGCCAAGTCCTGATCCCGCTCTCGCCAGCCACGTGACCGGACACAGTGCTCCACCTCTCTAGTTGTACCCATTTGTGAGAGGGAAGGAAGTGTGCTACGTGGACAGCACCTGACCCCCAGTGAGTGCCCAGTGGCTGTCAAGTGAACTTTCAGTCTTCAGGATTACAGATGTCACCCTCTGGTCCAGAACCAGGGCTGGGTCCCAGCTACACCCAGACGCTGTCCCAGACGCTGAAAATCCGCCCCCCAGAGACCCTCTGCCCATGGGGAGTTGTTGCTCCCACAGGCGAAACAGAAGTGCCCAGAGCTGGCTCAGGCCCAGTGCCTGCCATGGTGCTGTGTTTGCAGGGGACAAGGGGGCAGGGAAGGCTTGTCCTGACTGTTGGCTTGCAGACAGGCGGGGTGGGGGGGGGCATTTCTAGGCCAGCAGAGTTCAGACCTTGACTGTTCCCACGATGAGAGCCACTTCGCGTGGCTGACTTCCCACGATGAGAGCCACTTTGCGTGGCTGACTGTTCCCACTGTGCGTGGCTCTGGCACGGACGGGGCCGCGGGGGTCCCCTCTGTGAACTCCCCTTCCTGACGCGGCCTCGGCATCCTGTCTCCTCTCACAAGGCTTCTCTTGAAAGGTGCCCTGCACGGCGAGACAGCACAATTCCACTTCTTACTATTTATTGAAAGAGAGGGGCCAGCTTGTGGTGCGGCGATAAAACCCCTGTGTGGGCTGCCCCAGCCCGTGCTGGGGTGACTGGGATCCGGCCCCACCTCTGCTTCCAGGCCCGGCTCCTGCTAACGCTCCTGGGAGGCAGCAGGTGAGGGCGCCAGTGCGTGGGGGAGACCCGGATGGGGCTCCCGTCTCCAAACCCAGCTGTTGTGACCACTGGTGGAATGAACCCCTGGTGGAAAATATTTTCTGTCTCTCTGTGTGTGTTTCCAATAAGTGAAATTAAAAAGAAAAAAAAAAAGCTCGCTGAAATGGCCACAGCCACTGTGGATAGACAGCTGACGCTGGGGAGGGGTGCTGAGTCCAGGTCCCCCACGGGGGAGCCGGAGCGGAGCCTCAAGCCAGCACCACCACCTCCCAGGGCCTGCATGAGCAGGACGCTGGGGTCAGACCCAGGCCCTCCGACGCGGCGCCTGGGCCTCTTAACCACTAGGCCAGATGCCTGCCCGGAGACCACACCATCAAACCAGGTGCACGAGGTAGCGCAGCCCCGCTATCGGGCCGCGAGTTGTGGCCGGTGTCTCCAACAGCGCAGCAGGGCCAGCTTTACAGAGCCAAACGCACTCGCTCTCCTGTTCCCCAGCACCCCGGCCCGCGGCCATCACTAGAGAGCAGTGTCGGGAAGCCCACGGGGTGTGGAGGCCAGTCTCGGCAAGAGGCTTGGCTGACCGGGCGGCCCCAGTGGTGTCTGTGCTGGCAAGGCCGCCGGAGCCGGATCTCACTTTGCTTTCCTAGAGAAATGACTGGAGCTGTCGTCGCGTGTCTAAGCGTGCTCTCTGGTCGTCGTGGAGAGCCCGTGTCCTCTCCCAGGCCCTGGGTCTTAGTGTTGGGGGCCGGTTCTGTTTCTGAGGATATTGTCCTGATGGGGGGGATTCCCAGGGCGGGAGCCCCTCACCCGGGGTTCTAACTGCCTGTCTCCTGCAGGAGGCCGTGGTCAGCACGTGGCTGCAGTTCAGTGACGGCTCGGTGACGCCCGTGGACATCTACGACGCCAAGGACTTCTCGCTGACGGCCACCTCCCTGGATGAGACCATCGTGTCGGTCCCCCAGGCCCGCTCTCCCAGGTGGCCCGTGGTGGTGGCCGAGGGGGAGGGCGAGGGGCCGCTGGTCCGAGTGGACCTGGCCATTGCGGAGGCCTGCCAGAAGTCCAAGCGCAAGAGTGTCCTGGCTGTGGGCTTCGGCAACGTCAGGGTCAAGTTCGGACAGAGCGACGCCGACTCCAGCCCCGGGGAGGACCGTGGCGGTGAGGAAGAGATCAAGAACCACGCCAGCGGCCGCAGGCAGAAGGCTCAGGGCCAGGACGGGCGCCTCCCGGGCAGCTCCTCCCTGGAGCGGGAGGAGGGGGCTCTCTGGAGAGTCCCCGCCACGGCCAAGTCGCCCGTGGGCAACAGGGCGGGGAAGAGCAGCCGGCTGGACGGGGAGGCACAGCCGCAGAACATCCCCCTGGACTTCACCCGCTTCCCGGCCCAGGGGGAGCCGCCCAGGGCGGGGGCCGGGCCGGAGGGAGGCGACCTGGTGCAGAGGCCCCGCGGCCTGAGCGACCTGGAGATCGGCATGTACGCGCTGCTGGGCGTCTTCTGCCTGGCCATCGTCGTCTTCCTCGTCAACTGCGCCACCTTCGCCCTCCGGTACAGGCACAAGCAGGTGCCCGTGGAAGGGCAGGCCCCCGCGCCGCACTCGCACGACTGGGTGTGGCTGGGCAATGAGGCGGAGCTCCTGGAGAACGCGGGCGAGGGGCCGGCGCCCCAGCACGAGCGCACCACCGTCATCGACCGGGGGCTCGGGGGCCACGAGGAGAGCGGCCACCTCCCGCTCACCGGGGGCTCGCAGAAGCACGTGCAGAGCCAGGTCCACAGGCCGCCCGCCCCGGGGCCCGGGCAGGAGCCCCCGCACTCGCCCACCTCCAGGAGGAAGAAGGTGCAGTTCAGCACCTTCACCGCCATCCCGCCGGACGACGGCTGCCCCACGGTCGACTCCATCGGCGGCGGCCACGGGGAAGATATCAAGTGGGTGTGCCCAGACATGGCGGTGGGCGGCCCCAGGGACCCGGGGGACTGCCTGGAGAAGCTCAAAGCTAAGGCCTAGGCCCCGCCCCGGAGCCCAAGGCCTAGGGACGGCCCCGCCCCGGAGCCCCAGGCCTAGGCACGGCCCCGCCCACGGCCCCGCCCCGGAGCCCCAGGCCTAGGGACGGCCCCGCCCACGGCCCCGCCCCGGAGCCCCAGGCCTAGGGACGGCCCCGCCCACGGCCCCGCCCCGGAGCCCGGCCAGGGGCGTCTCCCTGGGCTTGAGAGGGAAGAAGGGCTGGGCTCCGCGCTTGATGGCTTGGGAGTCGTGAAGCCAGGCAGGGGTGTTTTTGTATCGAGGGTTTTTTAGCGGTCGGTGGAGCTGCCGGGCTGCGCAGAGCAAAGCTAGGAAAGTTATTTTATGACTCAGCGTCCAGACAAGCTACCAAAAATCATTTGTTAAAAAAATGCAAAACGACAAATAAAAAGAGACGAGTGAGAGCCTGTTTATATTTCTAATAAAGGAGCCAAGTATCAAAATGGGGCCTGCCAAGAGACGTATCCGTTAGGGGCTGGCAGCCAGTGTCCGGCCGGCGCGGGGAGGGGCGGAGGGGGCTGGCGCGCGCCGGCCTCCTCCTGGGATGGAGCCGGGGCCTTGAATCTTCCCTTCCAGGGCCGCCCGCCCGCTGCTCCCCTGGGTCTGTATCCAGCGTTTGATTTGGAGGGTCAGGGCGTATAGTTTCCTTACACGACGTGTAAGTCCCCTCCGGCTCCTGAGATGTGCTCGGGAAGCGACGCCAGCCAGGCCAGCGTCAGGCCGGGACTCACGCTCCTCTCGGTCTCCCCGGCTCTGCTGTGTTTGCTGGAGCAAAAGTCGGAGGGAACCCCCAGAGCCTCCCTGGGGGGGGGGAGCTGCCCGTGACCCCCAGCACCGCGGCACCACGGGGACGCTGGGGAGGGGCGTGGCCCGCAGAAGGGAGGTGGCTGGGACCACGGGGCCCGTGGGGACGCTCCCACGTGGGGGCAGGTGGGGCAGGTCTGCAGGGGAGACCCCCAGGGCCCGAGCGCTCGCAGCGGGAGACTCCCGGGGACAGGGAGCGGCTTCGCGCTTTATCGTCTCAGTCACTGGGACTTCCCCTCGCCTCGCCGCACACTGTGGAGGGGGAGAAGGACGCGGCTCCTGTGCACCTGTGATGCCGGCTGCCGTTAAATGCTATCCGTGGCTTGACAAGGCGGATCCTGCGGGTGTTTCCTCCGGCCCCCACCCCAGGCGGCGCGCACTGAGGCTGCAGGGAGGGCCGTGCGGTGGCCTCTGGCGCGCGAGTTATGCGAGCGATCCCTGATAGAGAGCTTCCAGCCAGGGGCATCCGTGCTCGGGGGCCCCTGCACGGTGCAGGGCTGACGGGGACTCGGGACCCCCCTCCCCCACAGCCCAGCACGGAAGCCTCGGCAGGGGCAGGGGGGGGGATCTGCCTTGTGTTTGGGTCTGACTGTGTCCGTGGTTATTTGAGACCAGGGTGGGGTGGTGGCAGTCGCGCTGGTTAGGGGATGCGGATTATCTTGGCAGAGCAAAGGCGTTTGTTGTTTTTGGCAATAACAGCTTCCGTGTGACATCATCCCGCACCACCAGAGGGAGCCGCTTGAACTGCCCAGTTCCGTGCCGAGTCTGCGTGCAGAGTCCCGCTTCCGTCTGCAGGTCAGTTTTGGAGTATTTTCATCAGTCCCGGAAGGAAACCCGACACCCACCAGAGAGAGCCGGGTACCTGGTAGGGTCCCGCCCCTCACGCCCAGTGCCCGCCCCCAGCGCCCAGGCACCTAGAGGTGCTGCTGTTCACATCTCAGGCCCCTCCTGAGAATTCACGGGGGCTCCTCCTCCCCACGACGCCACCGCGTCGGGTTTCTGGGAGAAGGAGGCAGTGGAGCCCTGGGACGTTTCTCGCGGAAGGACTGTGGCTGGATCCGGAGGCCAGCACAGGAAGTGGTCAGAGCCACCCCGCGGCCCACCTGCCTGAGCCGGCGACAAGCCGGCTGCCACACCTGGGCAGGGTCAGCCGAGCAGGGCTGGGACGGAGACCACACAGGACACCCTCCCTGGAACAGGAGGCGCGGCATCGCCCGTCCTGGGCAGGGTCAGCCGAGCGGGGCTGGCACGGAGACCACACAGGACACCCTCCCTGGAACAGGAGGCGCGGCATCGCCCGTCCTGGGCAGGGTCAGCCGAGCGGGGCTGGTATGGAGACCACACAGGGCACCCTCCCTGGAACAGGAGGCGCGGCATCGCCCGTCCTGGGCGGGGTCAGCCGAGCGGGGCTGGTACGAGACCACGCAGGACACCCTCCCTGGAACACGAGACGCGGCATCGCCCGTCCTGGGCAGGGTCAGCCGAGTGGGGCTGGTACGAGACCACGCAGGACACCCTCCCTGGAACAGGAGGCGCGGCATCGCCCGTCCTGGGCAGGGTCAGCCGAGCGGGGCTGGCACGGAGACCACACAGGACACCCTCCCTGGAACAGGAGGCGCGGCATCGCCCGTCTCTGCCAGCCTAGGAGGAAGAGGCTGTGCCACGGTGACAAATGCATCCCGAGTCCCCCGCGCCATCCTGGGGTTAGACTGCAGCCGCGTCCAGGAGCCGTCGCTGGTGGCCTCGTCCCGTGGGGGCTGCGAGTGTCCCGTGGTTCTTCAACGCAGTCTCCCAGAGGACACAGCCCTCAGCCCCAGAAACGAGTCGCCCGGCACCCGTCTCCGCTGTGCACCTGCTGGACACCCTGCCTCCAGTTCCTGCCCGGGACGCGGGACAGACAGCCTGCCTGCAGGGAGGGGACGTGGGAGGCCACCCCAGGAGAGGTGTCTCTTCCCACGCGGGTGCGCGACTGCAAAGTGAAACGTGTCAGCAGCTGCGTGCCCGGGCCGAGCTGGGATTCGTCCTCCCTGTCCAAACTGTAAAGTGGAACAGGGACCCCTTGTCTCTCATGGCCAACCCGACCGCCCAGCACACACTTATTAAACGCCTGCTGTGTACCTGACCCTGTGCAACATGCAACGGATGGAAAAATGCTCAAGACCGCAAGGTGCTCACAGTCAGAGGGCGGAGGCGGGACGGGTGCTGTAGGAGCCCCGAGGGTGAGCATGGTGGTGGGTCGCCATGCGGCCGGGAGGGGCTCCCCCTGGCTGTGGACGGGAGCTAGCTGTCTGCCCCGCAGTCTTTGCATGCTCCTTCAGAAGCACAAGGGAATGAGGAAAGGGAGCGTTCTCCCCGCTGTGCACTGGGGAGACCACGTCATCCTCCAGGACAGCGTGCACAGGACGGGGCCCAGAGACTCCGGGGTGCCAGGACCCAGGCCGGGCGCCCTCCAGTCCCGGACTCGAGGCGGGAGGACGTCGTACACAGGCTCTGGGCTTCCTCCAGTCACCGCCAGCGAGCAGCAGAGCCCAGATGCACAACCCTGCTCATGTCTCCAGTGACCATGGGCTTACGAAACCTGCCACATGAGCTGGGTGTGCAGGGCGCCTACCAGTCCATGGGGAACTGGAATGAAACGTTCCCTTGGGTGCAAAAAATAAATAAATAAAATGGGTGCATAGTTCTTTGCTAGTACACATTTCTTGGATTGTTTTCAGCATTGTCTGTCATCTTGAGTAAGACGTGGAACCCAGCGGACATCAAAGCCGCTAGAGTCTGGGCCGGCACTGCGGTGTAGTGGGTAAAGCCACCACCTCAGTGCCAGCATCCCATATGGGCACTGGTTCGAGTCCCAGCTGCTCCACTTCCAATCCAGCTCTCTGCTATGGCCTGGGAAAGCAGTGGAAGATGGCCCAAGTCCTTGGGCCCCTGCATGCACACGGGAGACCTGGAAGAAGCTCCTGGCTCCTGGCTTCGGATAGGCTCAACTCTGGCCATTGTGGCCATCTGGGGAGTGAACCAGTGAATGGAAGATACCTCTCTCTCTCTATGCCTCTGCCTCTCTGTAACTCTGCCTTTCAAATAAATAAATAAATAAATATATTTTAAAAAAGAAAGCTGCAAGAGTCTTTACACAAAATTTGGAAAATGAAGAAAAGTCGACAAAATAAAGGAGGCTCCAATCTCCCTCCCAGAAAGAATAGCTCGTCTTCTGTGGCCCCACGTGTTGTTAACATCGCACGTAACGCACGGTTGAGTTCGTGTTCTGAAAGTGACCGTTGTAAATATGACCTCTGGATTATTTTTCAAGCTGTAAAAGTCACCGGTGAGAACTGGGAAAATTCATACAAACGATGGCTCTTGTCTCCGTTGGCACGTTGGCGACACCTTTGCCAGGTTTGGCCCTAGGATTTTTTTCTTCTTCCAAAGTTGAGACCGGAGGGAAAATACTGACCTTCTGCGTGGTAGCAGGGAGAGCGCCACAGCCTTGGCCAGGATGCAAGGACTGCCCTTGTCCGGAGGGGCAGGCTGGGTGGAGGGGGGCCCGGGTGTCTCCGGTTCCCGCTGGTCCGTAGGCATCCGCCCAGAGCAAAGGCCAGGTGCTGCTCTGAGCAAGAGCGCCACCTGCCGGCCAGGCCCGGCACACGCCGGGAGGGGCGGAGCTAAACCCTGGCGGGCGGGGCACAGGTGACAGAGGCTGCACCTGTGAGACCACGCTGGGCTCACAGCTGACCAGCCCTGTGCGGGTCACGGCGACCCCAGGGGCAGAAAGGACACGAGGTGGCTGCTGCCACGCACTGGGAGGCACCACGGCAGCTGAGCCCGAGGGTCCCGGAAGACCGGGCGCACCCTGAGTCCAGGCCACACCTGCCACCACGCTCGGCGAGAGCCAGCGCTTGCGGCAGGCCGTGGGCGGGACGGACAGACGGACAGGCGGACAGCAGCAAGGGGTGGGAGTGCAGGAGCCGGAGGAAGACGAGGCGAGAGCCAGCCCCACGTGCGGTCTTCCCACGAAGTTTGGACGGGACGGTAACTGCGAAACTAGGCAAAGCCGACGTGAACGGAGGGCCAAGGCGAGGACCCCCCACCCACGGAAACCACTCAACAGAGCAAGGCCTCCTCCTCCTCCCCTGCCACCCCCACGGCCCGGGGCTCTCCTGGGGGCAGGCAAGAGGAAGGCACTCCTGGGGGGCAGCAGGTAAGGCACAGCCTGGAACGTGCAGTCCCACCCCCGCGGGCCTGGGCCGAGTGCCGGCTCTGCTGTTCCTAACCCGGCTTCCTGGCAGTGCCCGTCCCCGGAGGGCTCGAGGGCTCGGCTCCCTGCCCCTGCACAGGAGACCCGGATGGAGGGCTCGGCTCCCTGCCCCTGCACAGGAGACCCAGATGGAGTCCCAGGCGCCCTCTGGTCCGGCCCCGCCCTGGCTGGCACAGGAATTTGAGGAGTGAACCAGCAGAGAGAAGCTCCCTCTCCCTCCCTGCCTTTCCATTTTAACTTAAATGTAAGATGTGCATATACTGGGTAAAGCCGCTGACTGCAGTGCCAGCATCCCATATGGGCACCGGTTCGAGTCCCAGCTGCTCCACTTCCGATCCAGTTCTCTGCTATGGCCTGGGACACTGTGGGAGACCCGGAAGAAGCTCCAGGCTCCTGGCTTCAGATGGGCTTAGCCCTGGCCATTGCGGCCATTTGGGGAGTGAACCAGTGGATGGAAGACCTCTCTTACTACATAGCTCGGCCACTCAAATAAATAAATCTTTAAAAAATTATGCATGGATTTTTGATGTCATGTATGAACAAGGCCTGGCTGAGGCGGTGAGGACGGGACACCAGTCCCCAGAGATGCCCGGTCCACCAGAGAAACGCGAATCCTGCCCAGATGAAAGCCAGGACAAACCTCAAGTGGACAGTGACTCCCGGGTGGAAGAACGGTAAAATCACTGATGCTTTATGGAAGTTTATGGCAACAGCGCCCCCAAAGCAATGAGCAGTTTGCAAGTGGAGAGGGTGTCAGAAGCAGAGAGGAGGGCCAGCGCCGTGGTATAGCGGGTAAAGCTACCACCTGCAGTGCTGGCATCCCATATGGGTGCTGGTTCGAGTCCTGGCTGCTCCACTTCCGATCCAGCTCTCTGCTGTGGCCTGGGAAAGCAGTGGAAGATGGCTCTGGTCCTTGGTCCCTGCACCCACGTGGGAGACCTGGAGGAAGCTCCTGGCTCCCGGCTTCAGATCGGCACAGCTCCAGCCATTGCGGCCATCTGGGGAGTGAACCAGCGGACGGAAGACCTCTCTCTCTCTCTCTCTCTCCCTCTCTCTCTGCCTCTCAGCCGACAGCAAAGGCGTGGCCAGCACCAGGGTTTGGGCGCCCTGTGTTGGATTAGTTGCCGCATCCCCAAATGCACAGCTCCAAGTTACATCGGCCAAGGCTGCAACTGTGCCCGCACACAGGCGAGGCAGCGGGAAGGGAAGCCAGGGGCCCGGGGAGCCCCTCTCCCAGGGAGCGGTGTGCGTCTGAGATCGCAGACCGAAGAGAAAACAACGCGAATGGGGAAAAGGAAATGCAGATTGGGGCTGGGGTCCTGGCACAGCGGGTGAGGCTGCCGCCTGCTATGGGCACTGGCTCAAGTCCTGGCTGCTCCACGTCCAGTCCAGCTCCTTGGGAAAGCAGCTGACCATGGTTCAAGGGCTTGGGCCCCTGCACCCACGTGGGAGACAAGGTTGAAGCTCCTGGCCCCTGGTTTGGCCTGTTGCAGCCATTTGGGGAATGAACCAGTGTTTGGAACATTCTCTCTCTCTTTCAAAATAAATCTTAAAAATCTTAAAAATTAAGTCTTAAAAAGCTAAATCCAAACTCCGGCCCCGTCCTTCCCAGCACGGGGGCTCAGGCTGTTTCCCCGGACCCACAGCCCTGGTTTGGCGGAGATCAGCATTTTCAGCCCTTGGATCCGGGGCCCAGGGCTGACCACCCCGACAGGGGCACCTTCCGAGCTGCAGGCCTGGGGGAGGAGTCGATGGAGACGTAATTAAGGATCACGTAGTATCTGGACGTCGTCACGGGGGAGGAGGACCCCGCAGAGCTGGGCTCAGAAGTCGGAGCTGCCAGCTGACTCACCGGCCATGGTGAACCAGGGCTGCCCCGCTGGGAGGGAGGGAAGCCATGCTGGGCCAGCAACCCCGGGAAGACGTTCAGAGGGAGCTGGGGCGTCACGGGGGACAGTGTGCAGGAAGCCCAGGGTTTGGAAACACGCACATGTGCTGTCACACGTGGCCCTGGCAGCCGCCAAGCCCTGCAGTCCTGTGCGTGGCTGCATCGACGCCAGGCCTGGCCCAGGACTGCGCAGCTGCGTCCCTGCCTCTCGGTGCATCCGCAGCTGCTGCCCCACCACCCCGGGCGCGACTCTGCCGCGGTGCACTCCCGGGCCCACCAGCAGGGGGCGCTCCGAGCACAGGCTGCCCAGGGCGCCAAGCCCCCGGGGCCTGGTGGCCGCTGGTCTGTCAGCCCGCGTGCCCGCGAGGCTGCCTTCCCCCAGCCCCAGTGCCTCCTTGGCGGCCTCTTGTCCAGGGTGCTCGATCCCAAGCCAGTCCCAGCTCCCGGCTGTCCGGGATTTCACAATTTCCCAGAGGCCCAGGCGCCGAAATCCCCTTAGAATTGTTCACTTGGAGCCACCGGCCACTGGGGGTGGGAGCTGTTGGGCAGTTTTTCCATCAGGGACCACCCAGTGCCAAGGAGGGAGGGAGGCTTGGACTGGCTCCACCGTCCCGGTTCCAGCTGGGAGCCGTCCGTCTCCCCCGCCGCAGAGCGAGCTCCTGCAGTCCCACCCAGGAAGAGGTGAGGGCAGCGAGACCCTCTCTGCCTCAGCTTCCCCCTATGAATACTGTGCCTGCTAGGAGGGCCCGCCTCCCAGGTTGAGGATCCCATGAGGCCACGCGTGGAGGGTGGTGCCTGCTGCGCCCTGAGCCTCCCACCGGAGGTCCGGCGTCTGCACCTGGCCCGGGGATCCAGACCGAGTGGGCTGCAGACCCGGCTCTGGCCTGCCCTCCCCGCAGGTGGGGACAGCGGGAGGAGCCACAGCGGCGCCCAGTCCTTGCCGTGCACGAACACCGATGGTTCTACAGAAATGACGGCTTCACTTGTTTCTCACTTAGCTACATTCCTGTGCCCGGTCCCCAGTGCACGGCCCGCAGGGAGGATGACACGGGCAGAAGCACCTCCATTGCGTGGGCGAGAAGGGCTCCCTCCGTGTCTGAGGCTGGCAAGGGAGGCGGCTCCGGGACTGGCGTCACCCTGTGGGCAAGGGAGGCGGCTCCGGGACTGGCGTCACCCTGTGGGCGGAGCTGCAGGGCACCGAGGACAGGCCCAGGAGCCCTGGGGGATACAGCTGAAGCAGCTGGTTTCGGGTTTCCAAGGTGCCAGCAGCCTGGGGTCCTTAGCTGGGACAGCGGGGGTGGGGGGAGGTGGATCCACACAAGGCAGGCCCTGTGACTGGAACTCCTCCCACAGACCAAGAGGCTCAGCCTCCTCCCTCGCTAAGCGCCAGGCCGCGGGCGACCCCTCACAGACATTCTCAGGATAAAGACCAAACACTGCAGGGCCAGCACTGTGGCCTGCAGGGAAAGCCACGGCCTGTAGTGCCGCCAGCCCATGTGGGTGCTGGTTCGAGTCCCGGCTGCTCCACTTCCCATCCGGCTCCCTGCTAATGCGCCTGGGAAAGCAGTAGAA